TGACCTATGTGAACATCTAGTTCCATTTGCCTACATATTCAAATATGAAAAGATCTGGAAGGATCCAGCCCAAACTGTTTTACAGGAGTTGCTTCTAAGCTGTGGGATTCACCGGTGAAGGAGGGTCCTGATGCAGGGGAGAATTTCCCTTTTAGCTACACCTGTGAGTTGACATTTTAAGAATTTTACAACAACCGTGCCTCCAATACAGTTCAAATTTAAAAAGATGAAAACCAGCTTCCTTTACCAAAGCATTGATGGAGTTTCACTCAGTGATTTTATTTTTTTATTCGTGCTTTTCTGAATTTCAATGAGGAACATGGATTGCTTTCGCAAAAGTTATTTTTAAATGTCACTTAGAAACAAAAGCCCCACAAACACTAAACAGCCCAGTTGCTGTGGTTTCTGTGACTCCCCACCCTTGCCTGGCTGTGGCTGGACTTTGCCTAAGAACTGCCCTTGCAGTGTCACCTCCAAGAGAAACCCAGTCAGCGGGCCTGTGGGGCTGGCAGAGGCTGGGCCCTGGAGAAGCGCTGGGTGGAGCAATAACCTGAAGCCCTCAGCTACCCTGCATTTGTGTTCTGCTGGCGAAGCACCTCTGGACCAGGCTTAGGAGCAGCTCTGGAAAGAGCTTTCCCTCTCTGCCAAGGCCTGCTAGGGGCCTGATCAGCCCCAGCAGGTGTAGGATAGACAGTGACCGAAATGATCAGAGACAGAGAGAGTTGGAGGGTCGGGTGCAGCTACCAAACGATCCCAGTACTGGAGAATGCTGTGAGTAGCCGAGGGAGGAGGCGACCTAAAGGGAATCCTGCTTCCTTCCTGTGGCTGCAGGGGGTGATCTTCTAGAAGAATGAGCCATTTCTGGCCATGCCAAACGCAAGTTCTGTGAGCTCTTACGTTGGGCAGCTCCAGCCAGAAGCAAGTGCCTCTGACTCGGAGTCCATGTGGCAAGTCAGAGTGGCCTTGCAAAAATGCAAAACCATTTTTTCAAAGAATATGCTTGCCTCTGACACTGTTCAGGCCTGAGCTGTCCCAGAGAATCCAAAAATTGGACAGGCCCCAAACAAGAAGAGCCAAGGCTTAAAGACAGGACACTCAAAGGACCTGTTTCTACCCAGATGGGAACTAACTGTTGCCTCTGCCACTTACCAGCTGTGCAAGGTCAGGAAAGTCATCTAACCTGCCTCAGTCTTTCGGTGTAGAAAGTGGGGGATGATGAGAAGGTTGTGATGGGAATTAAAAGGGACAGTCTCTATGTATTAGATAGTTTTCTTTTGCCTACCACACAGTGCCACAGACTGCGTGAATTATAAAGAAAAGAGGTTTATTTTAGCTTTGGTCCTGGAGGTTCAAGGTTGGGGACAGGTATCTGGTGATAGTCTTTTTTGTTTTGGTTTGTGTTTTTTTGAGCCAGGGTCTCCCTCTATAGTGCAGGCTGGGCTTGGACTCACTGTAGACCCCAGGCTGGTCTCAAACTCATTGCCATCCTCCTGCCTCAGCCTCCCATGTGCTGGGGTCACAGGCATGCATCATCATGCCCAGCTGGTGATGGTCTTTTGGTTGGCAGAGTCCTGAGATGGTGCAGGGCATCGCATGGCAAGAGACAGGGGGTGTATGTGTTCCCTCTGCTCACTTTCTTTTGTTCTCAATTAACTTTTGTGGTACTGGAAACTGAGCCAGGGCCTTTATATTGAGTCACATCCCTAGCTTTAAAATTTCTTTGTAAATTTTGAGACAAGACCTTGCTGAATGCCTCAGCCTCTGAGATTACTGGGGTTATAGGTATGTACCACCACAGCCAGCTACTCTGGTTTTTATAAAGCCACCAGGATTGAATCATGGGGCTTCTCCCGAAAGATCTCATAAATCTTCCTAAGGAGCCCACTTCTGAACATGGCAGTTGGATTAAGCTCCCACCCTCTATATACCGCCCAACAAAGGAAGCCTGGGAGATGCTTGAACAATATCCAGCCAAAAGCAGCCTGGAACACCATCACCACAGTGCCTGGCAGAAAGCGAATGCCCGGTCAACATCAGCTCTTATTATTGGTCCCCTAAAAGGGATATCCAAGCAAATGACAGGTGGCTCCTGATCACAGAGCCACATTTACAGCCTAACGGCGAGAGTTAAAAAACAAAGAGCATCTCGCAGAACAGCATGCAGTGAGGAGTCCACTTCCGTCGGGGCAAACATGAGTATACACACATGCGTACCTAGATGTCCCTGGCTCTCTGGTCTCCCCACATCTTCTGTCTCGGTATTTCCCTGGGCTCACCCGTATTATAGACAGCTAAGTTAGGTAGAAATATTCCAGGTGGTCAGATAGGGCAGGGTCCTCGAGAGAGTCAGCACAAAAGATGAAAGCACATTACAACCGTGGCCGGAGATGTGTCTGTCAGAGACCAGGCCTCAAGATAAAGACAAAATAACCAGGCCTGCATACTTCCCCAAAGGACAAGATAAGCAGAAACATGGGGCCTAAGGAAGTCTAGATCTCTGGACCCATCATTTCCTAGAAAAAGTCTTTGTTCTTTCTATGGTTACTTGTTATGTGACTTGTTCTCCCATTGGATCACTGCTACCTGAGTAACTATATTTGTAACCTTGTTGGTTGTTCATAGCTTTAACCTACATTGTACCCAGTGGGTTTTGCTCTATAAAACTTCCCCTAAAAAATGGGGTCCTCAGATACCCATTCAGGACCCTGTCCTGCCTCACAGGAGCTAGCCTCTCAATAAACATTTACTATTCTTAACCTCTGTTGTTCCTAGAATTCATTCTTTGATTTTAGAGAACATGAACTGGGCTTATCAGACAGCTAACAGGTTGGAATTATATTTGCCTTGTACAGTGGACCCTTGACTTACAAACTCAATTCATTCTCAAGGGCTGGTTGTAACTCAAGTTCGTCAATTGAAGCCTCAGGCGCCTCTACACAGTCTTCAAAGTCTCTCTCCTATATACAGGCAGATCTCAGTGTCCTTAGAGAGACATTGGCCCAGGATTTCTCAGTTAACCCTACACAGGAAAGGATGGTGTAATGTTCCTTTCAGAACTCCTTAAGGGTTAAATCTGTATCTGAGACCATCTGAAACAAAACCTGCCAGCGTTCAGGTCGTAACTCAAGACTTTGATCGTAAGTTAAGACTAAAATTCTGGTCGTAACCCACATTGTTTGTATGTCAGGCGGGTTGTAACTTGAAGGTCCACTGTATCATTTGGAGGTCCTATTTCATCTCCTATATCATCCCTGTGTCTCCTGGACACCTCCAGCCCCATGGAAAAACTGTTTATCACCATTCCATCATGAAGGAACTTCTGACACACCCAGGGCCACAGGGAGCAGTTTGTGTTGCTCATCCGTGGGTGAAGTATGTAAAGGTTCCTTCCCTTTCATCCCACAGTGCCTGTGTAGGGAAGTCCACACTTTCTCTGTGCAGGTTTGGGGGTTTTTTTTCCCATTACTAGGGACTGAACCCCAGAAGGCTTACCATTGAACAGTCTTGCTAGGTTGTCTAGGCTGAGCTTGAACATGTGACTTTCCTGCTTCAGCCTCCTACATGCTGGAATTACAGGCCTGTGCCACCAAACCAAACTCACAGGTTTGCTATTTGATCCAGATGAAACAAACTGTCAATAGATTAACGGAAGAAACACAGTAACATATTTATTCCATCCCAGTTTTAGCTGACCCCGGAACTTCCGACTGAAGACACAAAGACTCAGGGTGAACGATCCATTTTGATGGAGCATGGACAGCCCTGTGGAAATGGGATCAGAGAAAACAGGGTGTGGGTGGAAGGAAGTAGATTGAGTGGGAAACCCAGCAAGGCCTTTCTGCTCAGTCTTTTTGGTCCCTTGGTTAGCATGTCTGAGGAGTCAAATTTCTCTCCTTTATTACCACACAATAACTAAGCAGACCCCAGATCCTCGGAGCACTGCAGTATGGAGGCCCTTTGTCCCCCTTATTTAGAACTTCCAAAGACGTCTAAAGTGGCTCCTAGAAGTCTTTTGGGAGGAAATGCATACATTCCTTGGAAAGTGTGAACTTTGAGATCAGAGAAGTCAGCCCTGAGTTCCAGCTCTGTCCTTTGCTGCCTGTATCACTGGGCAAGTCACTATCTCTATGGGCTTCCATTTTACCATCTGTAAAATAGGGCTGATTTACCTATCTACCTTACAGAGTTGGGTGGAGCTAGCATAAAATAAATTGTTTAACAAATACAATTGTTACCATTTTTATTTCTAAAATAAAATTTGTGAAATTTCTAGGGAAGCACTTGGAAGGATGTGATAGCAAAATATTCACAGTAGTTATCTTTCGTTCTCTTCTTTATACCTTTCTATATCCGTTGACTCCACAGGAATTAGTAAGCACACACCACGTTCCAGGTCCTGGTTTCAGAGTTAGGGATACGGTAACGCGTACAGGACACCTAAGTAACGCCAGGTGTGGTGGCGCACGCCTGTGATCCCAGCACCCTGGGAGGCAGAGACGGGGTGGGGTGGGGGGGAATCTCAAGTTTGAGCCCAACCTGGGCAACTTATCAAGTTGGCGAGACCCTGTTTAAAAAAAAAAAAAGTAATGCCTGGAGGAAATGATAATTATTGCAAATAATTGCAATTGTTATAAGTGTCTAAGTTTTACAAAGCATTAATCAGAAAAAGGATTTCTGATAAAAAATATTTATATATATTTTTTGTGGTACTGAGGATTGAACTCAGGACCTTGTACTTACAAGGCAGGCGCTGTGCCACTGAGCTAAATCCCCAGCCCCCGATAAAAAATATTTTAAGGGTGTGTAATAGAGACTTGTACAAACGAGCAGTGGGCTAATCAGGCTCCAGCGCCGTACTGCATCTGCAGCCAACAGGCGGGGGAGCACCGCTAGCGTTAGTACTTGAGCGAGGGGCCAGGTCCAGCTCCGGGCTGCAGGGGCGGGGACAGCCTTGGGCGGGGCGGCCTCGTGAGCCCCCGTTCGAAGCCCCGCCCCCCGGCCTCGCTCCAGTCCCCGCTCCGCCGCTGCGCGATCAGAGGCCTCGCGCGGCTGCTGCTCCAGCCCGGCTCCGGCCACCTGCGCTCCAGCCCGGGCACGCGTCCCCGCGACCCGCTCGCCGCTCCTCGGCACTCGGGGGCCCCCCCGGTCTGCACCCTGGAGCGCCGCGCCGCGAGCCTCTGCCCGCCCCTCTGCCTCGTCGCGACCGGGAGAGGTAGGAGGGGACTCGCTGCGCTCTGCGGCCCTCGGTAGCCCGGGGTGCGCGGAAGGGGAGAGGGACGTGGGGCGCTCGGCGCCTGCTGCTGTGAAGCGGAAGCGTCGCGTCCGCGGGAAGCGACCTCGGCAAGCGCTGGCCGCGAGGGCGTCCGGAGAGGCGCAGCGCTGCCCGCCTGTCTCCCGCTAGGCCCGGGCCGCTTCTCCCACGTGGTCCGCTGAGCAGAGACTGCGTGGGCCGCAGCCCCGGGACCCCGAGGGTTGTGCGAACGCGCTGGCTGCGGGAGCTGACATGTGCGCCAAGGGCCTGAGCGGTGGCGCGCGTGGTGGCGCAGGGGCGGCCCGGGGATCGCCTGGGGCGGGGCGGGGCGCGGTGCGGGAAGCAGCCCGGCTGCGTCCCAAGTGTGACAGACGGGCCGGCTGCAAAGTGTGTGTGCTGCGGGGAATTGCCCTCCTGGGACGCTCGCCTCCTGGGAGCCTGATTCCTCGGTGCTCGGTCGTGGGCGCTCCCTGCCTTGGGGCCACTCAAACAGGAAAACAGATTTCACAGGGGAGGAAACTGAAGCCCAGGGTGGTCCTCAGGCCCCCAGAAGCTCCAAAAGCCACGTGGACAGCAGTCTAATAAGCGAGATGGATTAAGCGAGGACGCAGAACCAGCAGGTGGAAGCTGTTAATGCCCACCGGGTGTAGGGTGAAGGGCAAGGGGGTGGAGAGGAGGCGAGGCCAGGTGCTCCTCTCAACCTGGACATCAGGACACACGCCGTCCCCTTGTTTCTGGCCCGTGAAGAGGAGCCTGGAAGCCTAGCAGAGGACACAGCCATGAGCTGGAAGGAGCCCAGGCCTCCCTTCACCTCCCCTGTTAGTCTTTGCTATCTGCCCGGAAGAGTGGGCTCCTGGGAGCTCTGAAGGTTGTGGGTGTGGCTCGTGGACGCCGGCCTTCCCTCCAGCCGCCCCTACCACGCCGACCCACTGGAGTAGGGGCCCTTACACTTTTATCTTGCACTGCTCAGATTCTCCGAAAAAGTCCTTGGCGGGGTTGGCTTCTAGTTGTGAGGCCCCTGGGAGCCTGTGGAGAAAGTCTGGGGTGCACAGCAGACACTTGGATTTGCTCCCCTTCATTCTCCAGGAGTCCCAATGTATTTCTGGTCCAGTCTTAAACCTGAAGCAGAAAATGTTCACATTCAGGACTAGAATCAAAGTCGTAGCAGCTGGCTGGACTGATTAAAAAACGTTTTTTGTGTTGAGGGAGATGCATTCTGCTGACAAGACGCTGCAGACGGTTACTCCTGTGAGCTGAAGATGCCCCTAAGGAGCGATTAGAGAGAGTCCACACCTGGGATGGAGTGGGTTGGGCTTTTAAGTGTAGAATCAAACTCTTGCAGCCAGGGCTGGTGGGCTCAAAGAAGAAGGGTTCAGATGGAAGAAGGAGTGAGTAACGCATTGATGATAAAGCAAGGGCCAGCAAAACACAGGAAGTGGCTGAGCTATGGGTAGCCAAACTGCAGACAGTTTCTCTAGCCCAGTTCTCAACTTCAGGGTGTGTTGAAACCTGGAAGTTAATTCAGTAGGTCTGAGTGAGGCTGGAGAATTTCCATTTCTATTTAACAAGTTCCCGGGGTAAAGATGTCGCTCTGGCTACTGCTGGTGGTCCAGAGGGTCCTGGTACCACAGTTTTAGAACTGCTGATTCAGAATGTGATGACTGTGGCATAAGCCCTGGATTCAGCCGGCACCACCTGCAAGTCTGACTCACCCACTTTCTCGCTGTGTGATTTTGGGCAAATCACTAAACTCTGTTCTTCAGTGACCCCATCTGGAGAATGATACTAATAGTGTCTGCTTCCTGGGATTCAGGGGAGACTTCCTGGAGGAGGGTACAGCAAGTTCGAGGCCCAGGGAGGGGGGAGCTCACGTCTTCCTGGAAAATGAGCTGCGCAGCAAGTGCTTTGTAAGTGATATGAGATGCTGTCACTCGGCTTTGAGTGGGATCATGGTGGAGGAGAGGCTGCCCAGGACATGGGAAGCGGGCTGCTGGGTGGGCCTGAAAGTTCTGCAAGTTTATTTCTGCCCAGTTCTGCTGGCCCAAATGCAGTCACATCACCAAGGTGTAGGAGAGGCTGGGAAATGTAGTCACCGACTGGGCAGCATAATTCGTGGTGGAGACCTGGCTTTCTATACCACCGTGGCTTTTTCTAGCCAACTTGCTTATCTCTCTTCCTCCTTGTTTGGTCCACTCCAGTCTGTTGGATGAATGAATTTTACAGAGGAGGATACCGAGGTTCAGAGAGCTTAGGTAACTTGCCCAGCACTGCTCAGCTAGTAGTGGCAGACCTGGGACTTGAACTCAGATCTGTTCGTCCCAAAGGTCTCGCTCAGCCAGATCCTGGCCTCCGCGCTTTTCAGGTGCTCCATGGTCTAGGCTTTCCTACTTGCCACTGGGCTGGCCGACCCTCTGTGATGACAGCCCAGTCGTCCCTCTGCTCCAGTGCCAGCTGGGTCCGTGATTCAGCAGCAGATTGCTCGTTTTCCTCAAGTTACACGTTCATTTATCCAGGGTGCGTGTGTGGTGAGTGCCAGGCTTGGTGCTCTGGGCTGGAGAAGGCCGAGACACGGCCCCTTTTGTTTGACATGCTCACGTGGTCTGGCCTCTGGACGGCTGTGTAAACACAGTTCACTGTGGGAAGTGACACATGCTGTGCTCCTGGACTGACCTGCCAGGAGTACACTGTGTTTCGGGGCCACGAGGAAGATGTCTTGTGGATGATCAAACATTAAAATGTAAAGCGCCCTTGTCCATTTTGCTCATCGAAGCTATAGTGACAATCTTGTGCTTCGTACCCTAAAATGGATTTTTCTAATTTCTAAAACAATAAAAGAGCCCTTGCGCAATGACGATTTTTTGGAAGAAAACACAGTATGCTGCAAAGGTATTTTTATGAGCCTTCAAACAGAGCAAGTATTAGCTTATCCAATAGGTTGTTGTTTCCCATGGGTCAGTAAGCTAATTTCTCTGTCTCTATGGATGCATGGAGATTTGTCTTTAAAGAGTCAGGAGGGGGCCGGGGATTTAGCTCAGTGGTTTCGCTGCCTATTGGGAAAGCCCAAGGACCCGAGTTCAATCCCCGGTACCCAGTTGTCCTAAAGGAGGTGAGTTTCTCAGCCTCAGTGCTGCTGACATTTTGATCCTTCATCCTGGTGGGGCTGTCCTAGGAGTTGTAGGCTCTGCAGCAGCGTCCCTGCTCTCTACCCACTAGCTGTACCCTAGACTTACAACAGCCCAAAAGGTCTCCGGACATTGTCAAAGGTTTCAAAGGAAGCCCCAGCTTCAGAGCCATTCTTCCAGACTGTATTCGTTTCTTATTGGTGCTGTAACAAATGATCACAAAGTGAATGGACTGAAGCAACACAAAGTTATTATCCTACAGTTCTGGGGGTCAGAAGTGTTAAAGTCAAGGTGTCTGTAAGGTTTTGTTCCTCTGGAAGCTCTAGGGGAGAGTCTGTTTCCTTGCCTTTTCCAGCTTCTGAGGCCCCTTGGTTTCCTTGGCTTGTGCCCCCTCCTCCTCCAAAGCCAGCAGCTCTGCATCTCCACATCTTCCTCTTTTTTCCCTTCCTTCCTTTCCCTTTCCTTCTCTTCCTTCCTTCCTTGGTGTTGGGAATGAGCCCAGGGCCTCTCATATGCTAAGCACTTGCTCTGCCATTGAGTTAATTTCTGGCCCTAAATCTTTCTCTTTGTCTACCTCTGCTTCCCATGTTACATTTTTCTCTTCTTCTTCTTTTTTTTGTTTTTGGTACCGGGGATCAAACTCTGGTCCTTGTGCTTGCGAGGCAGGTGGCGGAACCACTGAGCTAAATCCCCGGCCCTCTCTTCTTTTAAAAAAAAAAAATTTCCTGCCTGTTTTCTGCCATACAGACCTTTGTGATATAATCACCGGACAAACCAGGACAGTCTCCCCATTGCAAGAGCCTTGATCACCTGCACAGTTGCCTCCCTCTGCCATGTAAGGTCATACAGTCACAGGGTCCAAGGACTGGAATGTGAACATCTTTGGGAGGACAGTTACCTTGTCTGTCACAGACGTTTTGGCCCCTTAGTGTAATGGCACTGAGTATGGAGGGCCTCGGGGGAAGAAGGTGATGCAAGGGCTGGGGATGTGGGGATGGTCAGGTGTGATAGCAGCTTTTGAGCACCCTGTCTATGCCAGGTGCCACAGGCCTGATCGCACCGAATCTTCTGGACAACCTGGGATAGGTACTGTTTGCTGTCCACTCTTTTATGGACAAGGACTCTTTCCACGGAAGGCTTTCTGGAGGAGGTCCAACTTTGAGCCAGATTTTGAAGAGAACAAACACATATGCTCGAGAGTGGGGAAAGCATTCTGGCCAGAGAGACCTGAGGTTGCAGACAGGGAGGTGACACCTTGGCCCCGAACGGTGACTGGTTCTGGGCCTAGAAAGTAGTGGGCTTGAGATGGCAGGAAGAAAGGGGCAGATGGGCATGGGCACCTGTACATTGGTCCTTTTATTCTGACATAAAGTACTGCTATTCTCAGTAATTTCTCTTTTCTTTTGTTTTTTGATTTTTTTTTTTTTTTTGAGACAAGCTCTCCCTACGTAGTTCAGGCTGGGCTTGAACTCACGGATCCTCCTGCTTCAGCCTCCTGAGTGCTGGGATTACAGGCATGCACCACCGCACCTGACATTCTCAATAATTTCAGTGTTTATTTATAAGCATCTATTAGGTGCCGGAAGTCTAGACATTAATGAGATGCTGACATGATTTCTTAGCTTCTTGCCTGAATCAGCAACTCCCGAGGCAGCACCATAGGAAATACGTGAGATCCAGAGCGGAAAGGCCTTGGATCATTGGCCCAGCACGTGCCGAGCACTGGTGCAGGGAAGTCTGTCCTCCAGGACAGGGGACGCCCCTAGCAATGGAGCCAGGGTGCAGCCCAGGCCGTGGACTGCAGATCCTAGCCGCCAGTCACTCGGCTGGGCTTTGGGT